CTTGTCGTGTTTTCCTATCGCTGTATGTGAGCTCCTTCTAACTACCAAAGTCAGCCATTTCTCACCACGTATAATATTGTTCTTTATAGTTTGATATGAACAATTTGCTACAGAATTATTTCTCTACTGAAATAAAAAACATGTGGATATTTCCATGGTCTGAGTTGTGTTGGCTGTGCAGTTTCTGAAATGTGTATTCCTCTTTGCAAGGGTTTCTTTGTTCTTAGATAAATTAAATCACAAACTTTTCCTTAACCTGTGGATTTACTCACCTTTCAGTCTCTGACTTTATCAGGAATTCATCTTCCTAGACTGCTGAAAAGAACCCTTCACTGTCCTGTGTTCAAATGTTTGTGGTGAGGAGCCTGCATGTCAGTCTTGGTGCTCACACTGATTGAAGAAATTACTTTCGTGTATACATTATCACTGTATGTGTGTGGGGGGGCGTTGTGCACGCCTATTGGTGTTCATACAACTTTTTTCTCATGTATGTATATGTGGAGGTAAGAGATCCATCTTGGGTGTCTTTCTACTCTTGACTGCCTCCTTGAATTTTTATACCCAAATTATGCTTAATTATACTTCTCTCTCTCTCTCTCTCTCTCTCTCTCTCTCTCTCTCTCTCTCTCTCTCTCTCCCCTTTGGGAATCTGTGTGCTCCTGTGTGCTTGCCTATGGAAGCCAGGGCATAATTCATCAGTCAATTCTCAACTTCAATCATGTGAATCCTGAAGATTCAACTCAGACCTTTGGTTTGGTGCCAAACATCTTCACCTGATTAACCAAATACTAGTCCTGACTGGCCTGGGATTCTTTATGTAGAATGGGATGCTCCAAAACTCACAGAGGTCCACCAGCCTCTTCTTCCTGAATGCTTGGATTATAGATGTGAACTGCCATGCCTGGCTTCAGTTTTATAAATGAATAGTGTTCATTTATTCCTCCACATATTTATGAAAAAACTGTACCCATCCACCTTTTTATTTCAGCAGCGTTGATGATTGACCCTAGTAAACCCTCCTGTGCAGAAGTCCAAAGCTCTGAGTTCTGGCCCTACAATTCCCTGCAATCCCACTGCAGTACAAAAGCTGATGGAATGCTTCCTACCTCATCCTCTGAAGCCAGCGTTTCACAAACATCCAAATAAGCAAACAACAGGAACAACAGGCCTGTGTCTGCCATGAACACACATGTAAATGCAGCCACATATCAATGAACAGTCAGGTGTGCTGGGCAACCTGTCATGTCAAGATTTGGGAGGCAGTGGGAGAAGGATCAAGAGTTCAAGATTACCTGAGCTTCATAGTGAGCCTCAGGAGAGCCGGGACACAACACAATAAATCTCTCAAACACACACACACACACACACACACACA